GATTAATTATGGCTTCTTCTTTGGCTGCAGGGCTCAGAGACTTTCTACAGTCTTGGAATCATCAATACCACAGATTCCGACACAGGGGGATGCTGCTGCTGCTGTGCAAGTCATATGGGAAGGTGCCTCCAAAAGGCTTTGTGACCTCCTGCAGCTGCCCATGGCCCGGTGACATGGGGTGGATTTCTGCCAGAAACCAACCTGAAAAGCTGGGCAGTACCAGGGGTATTGGAGACAGGAGTCATTCAGGAGGAGGCACATGCTGGCATTCGTCTTTCCTGGAGCAATATAAAAAAATAATCAATTAGTATTGTTTGTGATGTTCAAGGTTTGAGAAGTACTCTGAATTATTCTGTACTAACAGATTGTAGTGTTCTGTGCTGCCTGCTGGGTTTATTTAAAAAAGTTTCTGGAGTGAATGAAGTGCTAATTAGGATAGGTGTTTCACACTTGGTGACTGGACTATGCTGGGAAAGGTCTGATTTGTCTTCCTGAATTAAATAGGTACTTAAATGTAGCTTTTTGTACTTGCTGGTTTAGAGACAGGATGAACAATTTTCTGGTTTATGGACTGCAATTATTTAAGTACTTTAGCTAAAGCTCTTGGCATAGTTTTTAATCCTCTTGGGAAAATACTAACACCCAAATTCTTTAATTCCATATATATATATGCATGAATAGAAACTTCAGAGCCATGGGCAACCCTGCTGCTTAGTGATGGCAGGAGAGTTTTGCTTGGGGTGCCTGTTGTTGTTCACTACTTTTGAGCAAAGGGCACTCCAGGAAGAAAATCTGCATTTCTTTTAGAGCGTTAGTAAAGAATGGTAAATATTCAGGTGGCTTCAATGACATCAATGTTCCCAATTTACTGGGAGAGGAAGGATAGAATGATGTCAGTGCCCTGGTCTCACTCCTGCTGTAGCTGTGGATTTGTGGTTCCTCAGAACCTTTCTTCCTGCTTCAGCTGCTCTGGGGCTCTCATCACAGGTCTGGGTTTGGCTTTCATATTTTAGTTGCTCCTTGCATTGCTTCCACATCTACAACATCTTTGTGTGGACAACAGGTCCCTTGGTGCTATGCAGCACTAAAGGGAAGTATCCCAGGGATTGAATTCTCCACCTTCCTATGTCACAGTGGTGTTGGTGCTGGACCACCATGGCAGTGGCAGCCCACTGCTGAGGCTGCTTAGTATGGCTGCAGCCTCTGAGCATGGTGTGCTCTCCTCTCCCAAGTACCAGCCCAAGCATTTTACTTAAATAAATTAATTCTCTTCAGAAGTGTAATCACTACATACTCTTTCTTGCTGTGCCCAAGACTTGCAGAGCTTTGTTGCAGCATTTGTCATGTTTGATAGCTCATATTTTCCAGTCTTTAAGCTTGAAGAAGTTGAAGTTAAAGCAGGTCATCAGGCCTCTGCATCACAAAAAAGCTCATCACTCCTCTTTCTCCCTGCACCATTTCTTGCTTATTTATTATTTTTTTCAGTTTAAATATCTGTACACTTACAGGAATTATCTGTGGATTACCAATAGCTTTCTGGATTAGTCTGCATTCTATGTGTTTTGGTTTTTTCCTGAGAGCAGCAGCCATTCAACTCAGACATGGGTATTTGGGCAGTTCCTGAATGGGAATGGAAGATGGTGTTCCAGGCCCCTGTGCGGGAGTGGGTCTTTGTACACTGGTGTTCCCCAAACTGTTTAAAGGATATATATTTGTACCTTGTAAGCAAAACTCTCCTTATCGATTAATTGAACCGGCAGAGTGACTTAGTGCCATAGAGGCACTAAAGACAGGAAGGGCACAACATAATTTTTAGATTGGCTATAATTCAGAGATAATGCTTATGTTACTGTGTCTTGACAAGACATTTTGAAACAGATTGCTCTAAGCTAAGGTGTCAGCTATGGAGATAAATGTGTGATCACATCATTGCTGTTAGAAATTTTACGAAAAATATTCCAGAACGCTCAAGGCTGGACTGAGCATGTGTGCCTTGGCTCCAGGAGGATGGTGGCTATGCAGAGCCTACAGGTACTTATTTGGGTGGTGGGCAGGGGCTGTTCTGGGTGTTTCTCTCCAAGGGAGAGGATGGTTCTGGATGCTGAGCTTGGGGTGCTGGTGATGTGTGAATCCTCACCCAAACACAGGGGTTTCTCTGCCAATAATGCACCGGATTTCCCTTTGGGAGTGATGACTATTTAAAGCCACTGACTGTTTGGATGAGAATAGTGAAGGTAGAAGTGTTTGGTTCTGAATGTCCACTTCTCTGGATCCCTCCACTGACACATGGTGAGAGAGCCTTGGGGGTCCTGGAGTCTGTTGGCTGGAGGGTGGGAGGCCTGCAGGACACAGCCGTGGCAATTCTCTCCCAGCCCTTACTAGTCAGGAGAGAGGCAGCCTGCCACGCTTGCATGGCCTTTTTAGCAGCAAATAGAGAAAATATCCTAGCTTCTAGGGCACAGAAGAGAGAGGGGTCTCTTTTGAAGTCTTATGTGAAATCAGTCCCTAATGGGATCGGAGATCCCTGGGCAAGTCCAAAGCCTTCTCTAGCTTTGAGCTCCATGACAGTGTACCAAGAAACTTTTCCACTTCACAGCAAGGCTTCCTTCCAAGCAAGGAGAAACCTGGAGGGTGACATCCTCATTTGCTGAGGCGTGCTCTTCCAAATTTTCCTCTGCAATTCTGGCCCCAGGTTTCCGTGGCAGCAGTGATGTACAGAAAGAGCATAGAGGCTAAGACAGAAATGTGCCTACAGCTTTGCCTGTCCTTGACTTTGTAAAATGAATTTGGAGACTTCCAGTAGAGATGATGGTATGTTGCATCCACAAACACTGGCCTGAATGCTTGAATCATTATCAGTACAGACATTCAGCAAAGAAGATAAAACATTGTGTGTACTTGCAAAAGTAGTTACTGGCTGCATGTAGACTTAGTATATCTTACATGTCTAACCACTGGTGGTATCTGGAGGACAAGGGAGGTGATTTGGGCTTTGGTGCAAGGTGTTGGGTATGTCTTTACATTTGTATGACACCCAGGAGTGGGTTAATGACTTAGCGTGTAACTGGTCATGACACTTCATAGAAGAGGAATCTCATGTTGAACAGCTGATACACATCAGGTGCAGGTTGAGAGATGCCACATGGGGACAGAGGGCGAAAAGAACCAGAGAACAAAAGGAAGGCAAGTTCTGAGGGACAGAAGGAGAAAATGGAGAATTGAAGATTTGATTTACTGAATGGCAGCAGCACTTATCTCAGAGGTAGGATTAAGAACCTGATCTGAAGAGATTCAGAATAAATATGGTGGTGATGAGAGCACATGGGATGTAGAAAGGGCTAAGCATGAGCATGAGATGTTTGTGTTCAGCAGAGATGGCACAAATCAGATGGAATCTCATCTTTGATGGGGATGAGAAGGTTTTGACAATGTGGCTGGCTGCATGCTCAGATGAAAAGTATCAGGGAAGAAATGGGTCCATGTTTGAACTTCTGCATCAATTCCTAGCAGGCAGCTATCCACACTGGGGCTAAATTGTTGGCAGTCTAATCACTGAGGCCATGGAATAAGTGGATATATGGGCTACAAATGCCCATCCTGTTTAGGGGAGCACAGTGGAGTGAAACCAGTGCAACAAAAGCTCTATTATAACTAAACCAAGAGTGCTGTCTGTCCAGCAGCTTTCTGGAAGAAAAGATGACATCTTTGGTGAGCTCTTGTGGGAGCTATTAAATTTCCTGGCTTTTTTATTAAATTTGTTTGAAGGACTGCTCTTCCAGGCTCTGCAATTTGTGTGAATGGCCTAAAGCAGTGAAGTACTTGGAGAAGGAGCTAGCTCCAGAACCCACATTTGCCACTGGTTAAGAAAAGGGCTGCACTGACATCAGTCTGGTGTTTTTTTGTCAAAACTCCTGCCCCAATGTGCATTGGTGATCACAGGCTGGCAGGTTTACTTACATTGTTGCACTGCAGTTTGAGCAGAGAATCTGCATCAAAGAAGACATCTATTTCCTTGTCTTGGTGCATAGGTATGAAAAAGAGATATTAAAAGGTGTCATAATGGACTACTATATTTAAAAGACAAAGGACATGTTATTAACAGAAAGAGTTAGACTGGATGATGTCATATGGCTTCAGCACACTTCCCTGTGATAACCTTGGGGTCAGAACCAGGCACACACCCAGATTTCCAGCCATGAAAATAGTGGCTATTTAAACAGTAGCAAAATGTTTTGAGTATTAAATGTGCTTCATATTTTCTATGTGTTTATTGTAATGCAAAATTATGTTATTAATTCAGCTGGCTGAAATTTTCTATGGGGAACATTAATCTGAAAAAACAAGGTTCTGCAGTAGTTGACTTAAGCTGTATGAAGAAAAAGTATTATATAAAAGTATATAATTTTTGAAGAAAATTATATTTTGAGGAAACAGGAAATACTTATCTTTAAAAAATGTCATATTTGTGAGAAAAATATTGCTTGTTTTCCAGGTAGACATCTTACAGTGTCTAGAGTGTATAAACTGATGATTTATTTTGCCTAACTGGAGGTAAGGAGCATTTAATGAGGAGTGGATTTGGTCCCAAAGAGGCTGGCTGGGTACCAATATTTTTACACATTATGATGTTTTTTGAGACTTTTTTTTCTGTAAAATAAATTGAAAATGTAATTGTGCGTCCTTCACACAGAAGTTGTCTCTCACTGCTGGGAGTCTGGCCACCCTGATCCTGTGTCTCGAGGGACTGGAAGGAGAATAAAGGTTTAGGTTTCTTCACCAAGGATGATATTTTTCTGTCTGTGTTGCCTCATAAGCCTTGACTTATGAGTCACTTACATGTTTATTCATAAATTGGAGTGAGAAATTAAAACGGTCCATTCCCTTTTTTTATAAGGCAGTAGCTAATGAACCCTACTCATATGCAAGAAAATGGTTGTTTGTCAGGGTAACACTGAAGCATGTTACTCAAAATTAACACAAACTATATACAATTGAAAAAATGAAAGATTTTTGGATATATATTTTATTTGACAGTGGTTTAGAATATCATACAGTAAACAAGATTTCTGTAAAAGTTAATTTATCCATAGTGGTGCGTTTCATAAAAATAGTTGCTCACTTACAGCCTTTCTGTGACTATTAATACATGGAATTATATTTATAGAGATAGAGCTGTACAAGGTAAATTCACAGCTAACACTACACAGAAATATTATTTGGAATGGGGTTTAGATGATGTGCTGTCTTCACAGGTTATCGATTACAGCCGCATAAAGCAATTACTGCACAAGGAGTAGCTGTGAACTGTGCAAATTAGAGTTTATGCAAGCATAATCTCAACTGTTTTTCAGATTTCATTGTTTGCTTTCTTTATACATAAAAATAAGATACTGGGACGTGCATCTACACTACAGAAGCATTGTCCAAAATCAGATTCAATAAATTAATGGCAAATTATATTGGATTCTAGTTCAGGGGATAAAGATCTTTTTTTCCATTAAATAAGAGTTTTATAAACAGCTACATGGATTTGTGCTTTTTTAGAAATTATAAATGGATTTTTCTTTCTTAAAAAAAAATGTTTGAAAGCTGCAAAATCCTTGACTTGAGGCTTTTCAAATAATTGGACAGGAAGAAACATGTCTATAAATTTCGCAGTCCAGTGCAATGTTTGAGACATACAGTAATGTGCTAATTTCTTGGAACAAAGCCAATCTCAATCTAGTTTTTCAGCAGAGCGTGTGAGGAACTAAGATTGCTAGTGAACAGTAATTTTTAAATATGAATCTTTGACAGTACTTAGCTTTTACGATTTTTTTTTTTAATTACCAATGTATTATTGCCCAGGATTTTGTTGTAATTTTGACAGACAAATAAGCATACGCACACTTACACAGACACACACACATCTGTTTGAAACAAGATAATGACTGATTGACTGAACTCGGAGTTATTTCCTGTGAAGGCAGACTGGAATGTTTACCTGGCACTTAAGGCTTAAAATTCAAAACAGACAAGCAAGAAAGATAAAAACAAAAAGTAGAAAAAAAATTGAGATAGGGAAAAGATGGTAAAATGGAAACCATTTTAAAAATGGAAAAATACTGAATTTAGTGAATGAGGACACCGACAACTGTATTTCAGAAACCAGTCTAATTATTGTTGACATGTGCCTGAAAGGCACCTGCTCTGCCAAACTGAGGGGATGAGAGGTGAAAGTGTCCTAAGTAAATGCAGATGGGTATGAAACATAGCACTGTTGATAAGTGATGCTATCATCTTCTGCAGGAAGGAAAGGCCTTTCCTTAAGGAAACTGCAGCTTTTTCTCTGTAGCACTCTTCCTTTCATTGCAAGGGCCTTGCAGATGCCTGGGGTTTGAGCCTGACCAATTGGTTTGTGTGCTACCTTGCAGGACTTGGGGAACCTGTAATAAATCACTTTTGAGAATAATTTGCAAATACAACTCCACCTTAACTCCTTTCCAATGTACAGAAACATGGTTTGTTCACAAAAATGGCAGTAGAAATGGTATCACAGAAACTATCCACTGGATTCCCCATTCCTCCCGTAGCACCCAGTGAACTATTCTACAGGGTACCACGAGGACTATCCCAAAGCGTTAACAGTGGAGACGTGTCATGGGTGTACAGTTCCGAACGATGCTTTAAAGAAACCCTTTAACCCCTGTCTAGATATGTCGAGAACAATTTATTTACAACATTTTAGCTCCATGAAAAGATCCTCTCTCGGTTTCAGCTTGCTCCGTGCAGTTTTATTTAAGGCGATGTTCCAGTTTGTGATTGCTCTAACTTGTTCCAGTTTCTTGATATAAAGTTTGAATGAAATCCAAGTCCTTCATGCAGTGGGAAAAAAACGCTAAAGCTACACTGCACTATCCTTCTCTGATGTACTGTCCTTCATATTGTTTTGGTTTCTTCCATAGCTGCCAAAGTCCCTAAAATGGAACTGGGACTTTAGGGTCGATTTTAAATCTCTGTGTTGACTATATGCTTTTGAACTTATTAGATAGTGTGCACATTGTCATGGAATTACACACTAATGTTTTCATTCCTCAATGCTTTGTGTATATGTGTGATAGTTAAAATAAATTAAAACAAACCAATGTGAGACAAAAACTAAGAAGAATGTTCTGCGTCAGTTTGAGACAGTTAGAGGGCAACAGTCCCTTGCTTATCTGCTCATGGCAGAAGTACCAGACTTCAGGACGCTTGGTAGCTTATCTGAGCCAGGGATTTTCCATGGCCCTGGAGAGACCGTTGCCTTTCGAACTGTGGTGTTGGTGCTGCGAGTGCTAATGGAGTGGAGATGTCCCTTCCTGGGGAACTCGCTGGGTTTCCCATCAGGGTCCCTCTGGCTGTGGTCCATATCACTTCCAGGTGAGCTGCAGCGGTTGCTACTGTAAGTCTTGGTAGCTCCTGTATCGGTCTTGACATGGTCAGGTGCTGCAGCTGACTTCTCACAGGTGTTTGTGGATCTGTGATCTTTTTTGCTAAGAGATCCTCCTCTCTTGCTTTCTGGCTTCCTCAGCCTCCCAAACTGTTCATCACTGGTTCCAGCACACACGTGCTCTCTTGCGCCAGCCTCGATCATAACGCTGTGTCCCACCGCTTTGCTCTCTGAGGTGGGCCTGCCACCATCAGTGGTCTTACTTTTGCCTCCTGAATATCCTTTCCAAGAAGCCTCTTCGTGCTTTGACCTGTCTACCTTTTTAGGACTTGCTGACCTTTCTCTTTGTTCTCCTAACCTTTTCTTTTTGTGACCGTTCACCGAAAGCTCCTTTGGTTTCCTTACATCGTGTTCCCTCTTGATATCCCATGTTGGTTCTGGGCTTATCTGGTGAGAAGGGTCAGAGGGTGGGGCTATGTGTGATGAAGATAATGGTGAGATTATGTCGTCGAGGGAAAGAGCTACTTCCGGCAGACCTGGGGAGGTGGCAGAGGGAGCACTCCAGGAGTTTGGTTCGTCTGTTTTAACAACAAAGAGAAGAGAGTTAAGGGCGTGTTCAGCAGCACAGGGTGAATTGCATAGGCACATGCATTTTGAGCAACACTGATACCCAAACCATGTATCAGCCTTAAACCCTTCTGCTTCAATTGGTTCCTCAATTGTGGAACCAAAAGGGAGAAAAAAAAAAAAAAAAAAAAAAAAAAAAAAAAAAAAAAAAAAAAAAAAAAAAAAAAAAAAAAAAAAAAAAAAAAAAAAAAAGGAAAGAAAAAGTTAAAAAATACAGTAGAAACAAGAAGCTCAAGCTGGTAACTGCAAATGCTGTAAACTCCAAGTCTTTTTTTCATACAGATTTTGCTTTCCTCTGCCTATATTACATTATTCTTAAAATAATAAAGGCACATGCTCATGAAATCAAATAGCCTCTTTTGTAGCTGTATAATGGATTTCTTAGCTGGGCAATATCAGTACTGTCTCTGAGGACAAATGAGAAGGACTTTCTTCCATCTATTAAACATGCCCCTACAAGCATATAATAATTGACAAGAATCTGTAGCTCAGATAAGGTCATCATTGAATTCTGTCTCATATTTTCTCTAAACAGATATAGTATTGAGGTGTTTATGGCTCCACAATTCTTACAGGGTACTTACACAGCTCTGCCTTTATATCACAGTATCAGCTGCCGAGTTTCCTGGTTAAACATTCTAAATTTCTCTTGGTTACTTAGCCTCAACACAATATGGTTGGTTTATGCAGATCCTGTTTAATTTAGCTAAATAAATATCTCCTTTACTGAATCACAATGATCTTCCTAATCCAAACCAGAATATTCTGGAATGCCTTTCTCTTGTGTATACATCCTCATTTCTTTTTATTAACTTTCTGGCAGAAAACAAATCAACCATGATTAATGACAGCATGGCTCCTATTCTTACCCGTCTACTTAGAGGTTAGAGAAATCACTGAACTTGGCTAATGTCATTCCCTATTTAGCACCATTTTACTTAAGCTTTGAATGGTATGAGGAATAATCTGTCAGAGATGAAGGACTGTCTCAGGAATCCATGGAAACAAGGTAGAACTTGTGGCAAGAGCTGCATATTTTATGGGGGAGAAAATGTAACCTTCTAGCTAAAAAAATAAGCATGGACTTCTTAAGGTCAGGACTAGTATCTGTCAGTGATATCAACTGCCCTTTTAAAAAGTAACTTGCATTTTTCTTAGTGCTATGGCTGCTTTTAAATTATCATGGAGATGCACATCATCTCGAAAAAAGGAATAGATTCTATTGCCTAGCCTGGATCTGAAGCTTGCTTGACTAAAACAGCACTTTTAAGTTAATAGCTGGATTGAGTGATTGCTGTCTTGCAGATAAAAATAGGAGAGACAATAGTGAGGTGGGTGACGTAAAGGGAGGGAGCAGCACAGTTAGCTGAGGAGCTATTTATTTTCCCAGATGGTGTTTGTCATATGCTTTTGCATAATGAGCATATGTGTGGAGAGGATTAGCATTTGAGAGGGGTAGAAAGTACAAGTTCTGTGTAAGACAAATAAACATTGAGCTGGGAATCTAAAAGGGATGAGGGTCTCAACTGAATTTAGAAAAAAAAGAAATCACACTTTCTTACCCTCCAGTTAAGGGTGACTAATGTACCATCTGCTCCCAGCTTGGCACTCAAGCAAGAAAAAATAAGAGGAAGACTTGTGCATGTAGAGTGATCAGCTCCTAGGAGTTTGCCCACAAAAAGCATTGACTTTGATGGACTTGTTCTTTACTCTTGTTCTTCTGCACCACCAGCCTGGTACAGGATCACAGCCTGTGCAGAAGGGGAAGCAGAGATTCTACCCTGGCTCTTCTTCAATCTGAAATCCAGGGGATGTAATTTTGTTCAATATTAGAGCCAGGGACCATGCACAGAGTCTAAATCACTAAAATTTTCCTGGGACTCAGCATAAAGCTGCCTATGTGCACCAGCAAGGTACCTGAGCAAACTCTGCAGAAGCCACCCTGAGCTTTGGAAAATCAAGTTTATCATTTCCATGGCATTTGTCACTCATACCCAGGGTAGAGGTGGTGCCAAGGGTTGGACTAATATATTTGTCTGAACTACAATCTTCTGTCCTGGTTGTCCATGAGATGTTTTTCACAGTTTTTCAGTGTCAGTGAAGAGCAGTGGGACATTATCCAATCTCATGTTATCCTGTGAGAGCTTCTGATTACAGGAATAACTGGTTCCTTTGGGAACTGCTGCACACCAATAAAAACACCAAATAGCCTGGAGCAGCAAGATGCTCTCAGGTAACAAGACTGCCTCTGTGGAAAAGGTACCACTATGCTCAAATCAGCTGCTTCTCCTCCAGGAGGACAAACTGAGGGGGCATTATTCAAAATCAAGGTGGCAAACACATCTTGTGGCTCCTCTGAGGCACAAAGGATGATACGGTAGCAGTTATTTGTAGGATGCTTTGGAGAAGAGACCTGGAGGATAGTGGCCTAATGCTTTATTGCCCAGAGATTACAGAATTTCTTCTACTTTCTTTTTTGAAGGGGATGAAAGAAACAACCAGATGTTGTAGTGAGAAATCATAGTGGGTCAGAACGTACTGCAACAAAAGTGATTCAGGATATCTCTTCTATATACTGATATATAAGTATAGGTATCCATAAGCTGAGACATGACATATTTATATGCATTACTGGATTTTATTTCTCCCCCAGAAAAGCCTAAGTAAAAAATAACTTGTCCAACTAAGTAAGAAAACTTGTAGCTATAGCTTTTTAGGTTTATTATATAGATTTTTAGGTTTGGCTGTGGGACAATCCCGGGTGGGTCACTGGCTTCACTATGTTTAAAATACTTGCTGGGAAGGCACCTATAGGTGTATTTCTAGTGGTTATGGAACAATGTTGCCATGGAATAAAACTATCATTTTTATTCTTTGTCAATAAAGCACTTGAAATTAAGAAGAAGATTACTTTCTTTAAGGTTTAAGTACCATCAGTCTGAGACAGCCAAAGCCAACCAAACCTGCTTGTCTTTCAAATGAAATGCCATTATATAGAAAGTCAGCCTTGGTGGATGTTAATGTCAACAAACCATTGTTGCAATATGTCACTCGCTAGTGAGGAGAATACTCATGTGAGGGTATTGTACCCAATTGCCCTCTAATGTTTGAACATTATGGAAAAATATGGAAATTACTTGAGTAAAGTGCAGGAATGCAAGTAATTTGTTGCTCAGAAAAAAAATCCTTTTAAAGAGCTGTGTTCAAGCCATAAGGGTTCATTTGGACTTGTTCAACCAGCACTAAAATGATTGCTTCTCCATAACAAATATAAACAGGAGAAAAATGTAAAATTTTATCCTGCAGAGCAGTTAAATGAGTAATTTATTTTCATGATTATACTCAGTTTCTAGCTACATTTTTGAGAGAGTAATATTTCTGAATATTTTTTATTTTGTTGGTCTTTAGGCTTTTTATAAAACCTTTGAATTAGTTGGGAACATAACCTACTTTTACAGTCTGTTATTCCAACGTAACTCAAAGCATTTTGTAAACATACTAAACCAGAGACAGACCACTGATTTTACTTTTTTCTTCCTTCACCTCTGTGAGAAACTTAAAAAAATATTTGTTTAACACAGCATGAGCTACTAATACCAAAACAACTTGCAAGCAGATGAGTAGAATATTGCATTCAGTGGCAACTGCTGAAGAGATTTAGGGACAACATACTTTTGAACTTGTTTCTGACTTTATCACCATTGATAACATCCTTACTGTGAGAGAAATTGACTTTCAGAAGTATACTTCTCACTGAAGGTTAATAGAGGCCTGCCTTCTTTCTTTAAAGGAGAAAATCTCCCTTGACCTACTAATTTAGACAAGACAAATGAGCTGGGAGCAGCGCTATAATCTGTCACTGTGATGGCATTTCATTTGGTGTAATTTAGTAGGTGTTTACTGGGTGGCTTTTAGTTCCTACAAGCTACTGTAACACAAGTTGGTGGCACTTCTCCATGGGATGTGTAAGAATGACTCGCCTACGACCACATAACTCCCAGGCAAAGGAGTAAATTGCTAACTGAGTAAGAGCCACCACAGACACAAGATCTTGAGTGTGTGGGAGGACAAGTGGGAGATGAACACAACTAATTTGGGGGAAGAGTGACACAGGGAGAACATCAGGAGCAGAAGTTTGCTGTCTAAAGGTTTTTTTATTTGAGGTAGAGCTGCCACATACATGAATTGTTTGTTTTGCTCTGTCAGCTCTCACATGTTCAATGGAGTGGAAATGAGGGTACTACTCTCATGAGTCTATTTGCTCCTGTCTTAACTGTTCTACCTGGATGCAATGCTTGTTGATGGCTGAGTCATGAGAAAAAGAACCCTGGCTTTAGTCCTAATAGAGAGGAACCTCTGATTTGTGGCTAAGTTCTCCCTTAGCATCAAAATATTTTAGATAATTGTTTAGTAATTCATCAAGGATGTGTGGTTTTTCACCAGATATAATTATCTATAAAGTAATAATATTAATTTATTGAATATTTAGTAATAAGAGTAGAAATTGCATCACATTTTATTACTTAAATAAAATAAAATCTCAAAGCCTTTTTAATTTTCAAATTGCATGAATAATGTACAATATATTAAAGCTTTGAACAGTTTCATTAGTCTGAATGAAGTATTTTCTGAAATGTCTAAGCAGCTGTTCTCATATCTTCCCAGAATTATTTTCCTAGGGAATCAAAAAGGGTTTGATTGAATAAAAAATATGGTACTTTATTTTTTCCCCCCCCTTTTTTTTTATCTGCAATTATGTATTGCCAGGAGGTGGCAAGCAGTTCTTACAGATGATGCTAATAACAAAAATGGGACAAATTGTCCCCTGGTGAGTATCCACTAATATTGGCAGTGCTGCACCAGGAGTGCATTTGGGTCTTTCTCATTATAGCTTGACATGTCTTTGATGTTCCTGATTGCATTGGTCTCCCAAAGCTTTTCTTTAACACTC